TGTAGGAAAATTAAAAAATTAAAAAATGGCTTAGCCTGGATTAAAGAAAAAAATTATGTCCCAGAAGCCTTAAGACTTAAAGGAATGAAAGCAGGGCATGACTCAAAAACTGCTGGACATTTTGGATTTGTAAAATCCTTACATTAAGAGACAGTTTTGGTGGCCTGCATTGAAAAAGGACATAAAAAGCTACATAGCCAGCTGCCCTACATGCGCAGCAGCTAAACGGTGACAAGGGAAATCTCCAGGGCTGTTTCAACCAGTAGCAAGTCCATCAGCACCCTGGAGAGAGATCTCTATGTATTTTATTGTGGAACTGCCTGAAAGTCCTGGAAATACTGTAATTTGGGTCGAAATGGGTTGGTTCTTTAGACAAGTTCATTTCATTCTGTGCCCCAAGATACCAACTGCAAAGACTTTAGCTAAACTCTTTCTGCAAAACATATATCGATTTCATGGAGCCCCACAACACATAATCTCAGACAGAGAAGTTCTATTCACCTCTAAGTTCTGGAAAGCCTTTCTGGACTTGATGGGTTCCGGCCAAGGATCGTCATCTTCCCATCATCCTCAAATGAAGGGGGGGGACAGAGACTGGACTCAGTTCTAGAACAATACCTGAGATGTTTTATTAATTATCAGCAGGACAATTGGTCAGACTTTTTGCCATTTGCTGTAATCCTGTACACTCCAGTACAGGTTTCACTCCATTTCAAGTAGCTAATGGTCAAACATTCATGGCCATGTATGAACTCCCTACCAAAGAAAGTGAAATCCCCTCTTTGCAGGAATGGATTAAACAGTTACAGAATACCTGGCCAATAGTCAGGAAAGCTCTAGAAGGAAGTCAGGGAGGTCTATAAGACTCAAGCCAAAAAACGGAGGGTGGAACAAAAATCATATAAAGTTGGAGACAAAGTATACTTCTGCATTAAGTATTTGCAATCTTTACAATCTTCTAAGAAATTAGGCCCTACCTACATTTGTAGGACTTTTTTCTGTCAAATGGATCATCAATCCTGTGACAGTTGAATTGGACCTGCCAAAGAACCCTGGGGAAAATCCACCCTGTTTTCCACTGCAGCTTACTCAAACTGGAGGCTACTTCTAATATTAGGCTTCCTGCACTCAGGTGCCCATGCCTATCATGATTGAGGGTGAACAACACTTTGAAATTAAAGACATTTTAGACTCTCATACACATCATAGGGTAACACAATACCTAATATCTTGGAAGAATCTCCCTTCAGCCCAGAATGAGTGGATGTACAAGAAACATGTTAGGGCCCCTAGACCTCTGAAATGTTTCCATGCTGAGCATCCTGATAAACCTCATTGGTATGTCTGTATTGTTTCTTTTTCCCTTTTCTTTTCTGTTTTCTAGGTGGATTTCCCATTCTTCTAGGAGGCCTAACATGTTTCTTGTACACCTACTCATTCTGGGCTGAAGGAAGAGTCTTCCAAGATACTAGGTATTGTGTTACCCTATGATGTGTATGAGAGTCATTCTTCTATGTCAGATCACCAAACCATTATTGTTTACCCTGCATATGTGCTCTTGTTTGGGACCTGCCATTCTGCTGGGAGAGGCAGATTTGCTTTCGCTTGGGATAACTTTTGCTTTCTACTTTTCCTCTCCCGCCTCTATCTACTTGAGAAAAGAATATATCTCCCTTATCAGGGAGACAGTTATGGAGAAATGAAACTTGAGAAGATCTTGAGATGCATGCCAACTGTGCCAGTTACCCAAACATCGTGCCACCTGTGGATTGGCTGGATTTCAAATGGACACTATGACTTTAGTAGGAGAAGGAAGATTGCTTGTTTAATTATACTGTTTGAGCGGGATTTTCCCCAGATCTTACCTTGACTTTCCTACTGTCACTAACCCCTAATAAAAGTTCCTTTTGAGACAATGCCTGTTTCAAGAGTTCTACTTTCTTGGGTGGTTAGCTGAGGTGGGTCCTTACAGGCAGCTTCTTGTCCCATGCAGTGAAAGGCAAGGTGCCTAGGGGAATGGGTCAGGATGAAGGCTGGGGTTGGAGGGCTAGGGGGTCATTGGCTATTGAGAATCATTGAGGTCCAGCAGAGGAGGAAAGCTGGCTATGCATTGGCTGAGGTGGGTAGCAAGGGGCAAAGAAGGGGCGGCCAATGGTCGGTGCCTAAATATCTTAAACCCCATTCCAACATAGCCAATAACTTTCCTGAGAAGGTAACTTTTTTTTAGTCAAGTCTCATTTTTTTCATAATGATATTTAATCCATCTGTACTTTTATAATTTAAATTTAATGTCATATAGTATGCTTTATTTTAATTGTGATTTTTGACACAGGTTTTATTTTGTTTATTTGTGTCAGAAAAATCACAATTAAAATAAGGCATGCTATATGACATAAAATTTAAAATATAAAATACAAGATTAAAATATGCATAAGACAGATCTCATCCAATTAACAATATTAATTCCATTCTGTCGTGCTTCCATAAGTTCCTCAAGTATGTACTGATCAGGACACAAAAGACAGGTATACATGTGTTGTCTGCATGTCTATTTGTTTATTGGCTTTGTTATGTCACCTAATCTCAAAATGACTCAATATATAGTAAAGATAGTATATGAACATTACAATTTCTTTAAAATTATAGTTATAACCTTCGCTCCCTTTCCCCTCCCCCCCACATTCAGTCTCTCTCAGTCAGCTCATTTTATCTATCATTACATTCAGGAACCAATCTTAAAACTCTGTCTCATTTATGCACTATTACCTCTCTCCATGTTTTCTAATGCTTCCACTGAACTATTTTATTGTTCTTCTAAAACCTGCATCCTCCTCCTTTATCCTAGATCGCCTCCCAGCCTTCCCCATCAAAATTCCTGTTTCCTTGGCACCATCTCACATTTACTGTTTCGTGTCATCCAAGATCCTCCTTGCTTGCCTGATTACTGTATGAAAATCCTCCTATGTCATACTGACTGGCAACAGCATTTATTCCTTCTTTGGGTTTTCTTTTTTGGTAGCTGAGTGTGTTTCAGAGCAAAACATTGTCTTTTGCCTACTTGCTATTTTTATCATCTAAGAATTTTTCTAGAGTGTAAAGATGTCAAGTGGCTGAAGGCCAGCTCTTCATTTTGAATATTTCCACTAAAGCTATCTATTCTAAATAAATAAAATGAAATTTAAAAATAAAGATTAACAACCCATATACCAATGGCTGTAAGCACCACGATGCTTACAGCCAGTGTACTCAAGATTTCATTCATTCATTCAAATGGCTCACATTCCAGCCAATAATTACCCAAACTCTATTGCTTTGTGACCTTTTTGTCTTAATTACCATATTGTAGGCAGTTTCCTATGGCTTTAAATATTTTAGCTGTCATTTCCATATCACATATATTTTTTCAAAAGAAAATTGATGATTATGTTCTTCAGTACCTACTAAAACCTATTATAGATGTATTCTAGTATCTGTAAGTTTATTTAAATTCATCTTTCATTTCATTATATTCCAGACTTGCCTTGTTCAACATCTGCTATTTGGCAAAGAAGCCCATTCCATGACAGTTACATCATTACCGAGTCTTTAGGTGATCTCTCACTGGAACTAATAATGGGGAAGGGTAAAGATAAGGAGAGGGGAAAACATGGACTGAGCAAAGTCTCCTTTGCCAGGAAACTATTGTTGCTTTTGCAACAGATGTTTGTTCTCACAAGGAAAAGGGGGAATGGAAGTTTTTTTAAAAATCCTTCTTTCACACTTAAAATATTTCTTGTTGAACAAAATATTTTACTAGTTTTCATCAGTTATTATGAAATGAAATGTTATCATCTCTCTCTCTCTCTCTCTCTCACACACACACACACACACACACACACACACACACACACACTATTCCAATGCACATATACTACTGGGTCAGGTAACAGCTGGATTTACACTCATCTCATTGAGCCAAACAATACAGTATATAACAATGTATAACAGATACGGCTTCACTATAACATGTATTTAAATCACTTATATTTAAAAATAATATGCTACTTATACCATCACTTCATGTGACGAAGTGGATTGAAATCTTATTTGCTAAGAAAATTGCTGTGGAGTGCACACAGTGGGGCAAAACAAACTTTATCTTTTCTTTCCACAATACTTGAAGTGATTCTGCTGGATCTCTTTGGGCAACGATAAGAAATCTGTGGTCCTAGAGCTGCATATGGGCCCAAATTCCTCTTTTGCAGCCTTTGGAGCAGCTACAACCACAAATGTTAAACACTGAATACAGCATTTAGTGCCATTTTAAGTAGGCATATTCAAAAGACTGCAGACCCTAAAATAAACAAATTATGTTTAAAAGGAACCAAGAAAACCAAAATAATCTGAGCAAAGAAACACGTATAATGAGACAAAATTTATTTTGCAGCTCTCAGGTCCTGGAAGAATTTAAAATGGGGTCCTTACTTATCAAAGGTAATTCACACCTCTGGTTTGGTAAGACTCATGAGATTTACTGATTGTTCTTCACCGGAGGCCAAGATCAATCTGTTATGAAAGGTATAAAAAAAGTAGATGGTCCTCCTCAGACTGAGGAAAACCACACTGAGCTTATCAACCTACAAATCATCTAGTATTTTGAGAAATGGACTTGTAGCCCTGCATAAACACTGCCAATAGGAGCTTCAAGCAAGATGCTAGGAGAGTGGTTGTCTCTCCCTCACAATCTATTTTTTTTCTGCTCCTGAATAATATAAAACTTTTAGCTATATTATTGATTTATTATTTCAGACATAATGAGTCTATAGAGAAGGAAAATGAGTTATCTAACAAACTCCGGCTTGGTTGTTTTTCTTTTTTCCTTCTAAAGGATTTACTGCAAAGCAAACCATGCCGTTAAAGCGTACCTTGAGCTATTCACGAGCGTGGCCAACTGCCCCTTTCAAGTGTCTCCTTGACAATGTGATACATATAACTCAGAAACCGTAGCGTTAGGTACTTACCCCATAGCACAAAGAGGAAAAGTTGGACCAACAGCAAGGCACGACGCTCCATCCCGAATCTTTCGTTAGCACGAGGCAACGCAGCCGACAGTCTGAGCCAAAGACAGCGTGCATGAGGCCCTTTACGAGCAACCTCGGTCAGATCTTTTATTCGGCGCCCCCTCCCGTGGTGAAACGATCTTCACCCTACACTGTATGAAATCCTGAGCGGGAACTTAGGCTACTAAGCATCTCGCTCGCAGACAATTCAACGCTTCTGCTCCTCCCCCTTCCTCCGCTGACATATAAGCAGCAGCAGCCACCAACAATTCAGCTCGGAGTGTCGTTTGGTTTTCTTGCTTCTGTGTCCCTCCTCCCCAGCCTGGTTCGAGGCGGCGGAGGCGGAGGCGGAGGGCGGAGGCGGAGGAGATATCCCCGGACGCTCCAGGAAAGACAGTACAGCCTGATGTTACCGGCAAGCACTGCTAGGACGGAGCCAGGGTGTCCTCCCAGCCCTCGGGCCTTCGAAGTGGGCAGCCGGAGGAATGTCCTCTTCTTGTCTTTCTTTTCCTCACCCTCTGGCCAAACCCGCCACTCTTCTCTTCCTTTTTACATTCTGTTCGCTTCTTTCATTGCTCTATGTTCTTAGAAAACCTTTTGATCAATGGAACTCTGTTTTATTCACTTTAACATTATCTATCTTGAACAAACTGCTGTGTATCTCCTCTTACCTAGCGTTACTTTAGATAATTCGAGGAGCTCAGGTAAGATAAACTTTTGCCAAGTGGCTTAGGTGAAGCAGGTGGCCAAGACACTCCTGATAGCATCACAATTTATCATAATGGGTGCCTTTCAATGCACGGGGTAAATGAGTTGGCACAGCACTCACACAGACAATTTTATAACAGCTGGCTGAGTACAAGTTGACAGCACCAATTAATCATAACAATGCTGCAGCATATAAAAGGAAATAGGAGGGGGATTTTATTCTTCTTGTTAACTTTTCATCATTTTCCTTCATGACTAATCAGACTTGAAAATAAAAGCCCAACTATTCTTGGCTCAACCTCAGTGTCTGCTTGTGTTTCTTGTGTGTGTGTGTGTGTGAGAGAGAGAGAGAGAGAAACAGACAGACAGACAGACAGACAGAGACAGATCAATCTTGATTTTTTACATGTGAAAGCATATTCAATAGTAGGTTTCCAGCTTTACTTTTTTTTCTAAGAGACACAATGGGAATAATATATTGATTTCTGATTCTTAGGAAAAATTATTTATTAAAGAACCAAGAAATAAAGTAAAAATTCTAAACTATGTTTGCAGGACTATATCTTTATTCTGTACCAGCAGTAACTCAGAGTAAGTAAGAGCAGCCCAGAATACTTCAAAGCCAGTTACACAAATCAATATTACTTTATAGTTTCACACTGCTAAAATACATTTAAGAACTGGGCAAGCCTCCCCACTACTGTGCTGGTCCCTAGTATTTATTGTTTCTTCTCAGGATTGACCTCAAAACCAAGGGAAAAGGAAAAGTATGGAGCAAGATGAATCTTAAGAAATTTAATTCTAATAAAATTGAAGGTTTGTTTTTTGTATTTAATGCAAAAGGAAGGATTGGCTAAGCTGATTGCTTACATCTGAACTTTCTTTTGAATCCTGGGATGAGGCAAGATTGCTGCAGAGCCTGCTTCACTGAAAATAAGCATTTATCAACAGGATGGTCCATTTTCATGATCATGTATTGCATGTTGGATATAAGCTTTATTCTGGATGAGTTTAATTTGGAAGCTAATGGAGGTGACAGTATTCCAGCTGAGCTATTCAAAATCTTAAAAGATGATGCAGGAAAAGTGCTACACTCAATTTGCCACCAAATTTGGAAAACTCAACAGTGGCCACAGGATTGGAAAAGGTCAGTTTACATTCCAATTCCAAAGAAAGACAATGCCAAAGAAAGTTCAAACTATCACACCATTGCACTCATCTCACATGCTAGTAAACTTATGCTTAAAATCCTACAAGCTAGACTCCAGCAATACATGGACAGAGAACTACCAGAAGTACAGGCAGGATTTCGAAGAGGCAGGGGAACTAGAGATCAAATTGCCAACATATGCTGGATCATGGAGAAAGCTAGGGAGTTCCAGAAAAACATCTACTTCTTCATTCTATGCTAAAGCCTTTGATTGTGTGGATCACAACAAATTGTGGCAAGTTCTTAAAGAGATGGGAGTACCAGATCATCTTATTTGTCTCTTGAGAAACCTATATGTGGGTCAAGAAGCAACAGTGAGAACTGGACACGGAACCACTGATTGGTTCAAAATTGGGAAAGGAGTCTGGCAAGGCTGTATACTGTTGCCCTGCCTATTTAACTTATATGAAGAGCACATCATGAGAAAGGCAGGGCTAGAGGAATCAAAAGTTGGAATTAAGATTGCCGGAAGAAATATCAACAACTTAAGATATGCAGATGATGCCACTCTAATAGCAGAAAGTGAAGAGGAACTAAAGAGCTTCTTGATGGGGGTGAAGAAGGAGAGTGCAAAAGTTGGTTTGAAACTCAGCATTAAAAAAACCAAAATCATGGCATCCGGCCCTCTCAATTCCTGGCAAATAGATGGGGAAGAAATGGAGGTAGTGACAGATTTTATTTTCCTGGGCTCCAAGATCACCTCAGATGGGGACTACAGTCAAGAAATTAAAAGATGCTTCCTTCTGGGGAGGAAAGCTATGGCAAATCTAGACAGCATACTAAAAAGCAGAGACATCATCCTGCCAACAAAAGTGCGTATTGTCAAGGCCATGGTTTTCCCAGTTGCAATGTACGGCTGTGAAAGTTGGACCATAAGAAAGGCTGAGCGAAAAAGAATTGAGGCCTTTGAACTATGACGCTGGAGAAGACTCCTGTGAATCCCTTGGACTGCAAGGTGTTCAAACCAGTCAGTCCTAGAAGAAATCAACCCTGACTGCTCTTTAGAAGGCCAGATCCTGAAGTTGAAACTCAAGTAGTTTGGCCACCTAATGAGAAGGAAGGACTCACTGGAGAAGGGCCTAATGCTGGGAAAGATTGAGGGCAATAGAAGAAGGGGACGACAGAGAATGAGGTGGCTGGATAGAGTCACTGAAGCAGTGGGCGTGAACTTATATGGACTCCAGAAGATAATAGAGGACAGGAAGACCTGGAGGAATGTTGTCCATAGGGTGGCGATGGGTCGGACACGACGTCGCAATTAACAACAAAAAGGATGCTTTCAATAGAGGAAGTAGGCTATTTGCTAGAAGAGAAAAAAGACTACTCAGTCAAATACATTATGTAGTTAATGATTATGTATGGAAAAAGAGAAAAGAGCAACACTGATAATAAACTAAAAATTATTAAAAATAATAGGCTGCAATGAAATACCTGGCATACTAATCAGCTGATTGGTAGCTAACAAAAAGGCAGAAGTGCTGGAGTTAGTGGCTATGAGCTTGTTAATTGGGTTGGCAGTGAGTCTCCAGAGCTGAGACTCACTGAACATGGTTCTCATAGTCAGTATCAGTTCAGTATCTTTATCACTGCACCTTGCTTGCTTTTTAAGTAACTTGAATTGGTTATCACAAGAGCTTATATAACTTTTGTTTTAGTTTATAAGTAACTTATTAGAATTTTCACAAATTCTGGAGAACTTCATTTTAGGCAGTTTTTTTAAAAAAACAAAGCATATCTCTACTCCTTGTGGTTGGAACATTTTGTTGTAAACAGCTCAGAATCATTACAGAGATTGAAGTAACCTCTGAATAATTTGGGTTTAGCTATATAGCTTACTTACATCAGCTTTTCTCATCATCAGGTGAAAATATCTGTGTAAAGAGGTAAGATTTTATTGACTTCAGAATCTCATTAAAAGATGAAGTATTTTCTTTATGTTATGTAAATTATAACATATTGTTTTATGACTTTTTTAAAAGGAATTCTGCATGTGCCCTAAAATTCAAGTAGCCCAATTGTTGCTGGCTGAGGAATAAATATTATATTTGTTTGATTTGTCATCTTTATTTTCTTATTTCTTTCAATCCTTCCCTTGAGACACTTTCCCAAGAATATCTTGTAATATACTGTAATGTATTGGCCATAACTGTTTTAAATCACTTACTTAATTTTGACCTACATTGCTGTATTGTTTAACAGTTGCTGTTATTGAAAGCCAAACTGGCTGTCTCCAAGCTGATAATGAGGTTTGGGGCAGAAAACTGTTACTTTAAACCTATTGGTTGCCACCTAGAGGCTAACTGTATAAATAGCTGTGCCGCAGCCTTTAGGGCTGCTTCTGTTTTGAGTTAATAAACGTTGTTGTTTCAACACTCTGCCTCATTCAATGCCTAAAGAACCGAAGTTATAACAGTGGTGACGAGGTGGGATGTGCTGTTTCATTTAGAGAGCTTGAAGTCACTAGAGAGTGAGGTCAGCACAGAGCCTGATAGGAACTACATTCCCCCTCCCTCAGTCTGCCAGCAAGCCACGCTGGAGACCAGCATGCCTTAAGGTTCCGTCCTAGGGCCTACACAGAAGCCAGCAGCGCAAGGCATTGAACAAGGACTAGATGACCTCCAAGGTCCCTTCCAACTTTATTATTATTGTTATTATTATAAAAAAACAAACCACCATGGTGAAAGTCGGGAATTTTGAAGAATTCGACATAACTCACCTTGAGAGATGGGCGTCCTACATCTCCCGCATCAAAAATTATCTCTGTGCCCACCAGGTCGCCAAAGATGGATTGAAGGCCATGATACTCCTCTGCATGTGCGGCCCCGCCATCTTCGACAATGCAGAGAACCTGGTTACTCCAGTGCCGCTCAAGTCGGTCATGTATGCAGACTTGAAAAAAAAGCTCCGAGACCACTTCGAGCCCAAGTTATCTGTTATAGCATGGAGGCACACTTTTGAGCAGCAGGAGCAACAACCCGGCGAGTCTGCAACAGAATTCATTGCTGCTCTTCATCAAGCATCCCGACTCTGCAACTTCACAGATTTGGAGGAGAGACTACGAGATTGCTTAGTCTGCGGACTCTGGAATCGAGAGCTCCAACAAAAACTGTTCGCTAAGGAGACTCTCTCATTATAAGAGGCCTTGAAGGAGGTCATGGCAGATGAAGCTGCCAGAGGGGCCATTAAAGCACTGCGGCCCTCCAAAAGTGTGCCAAGCACCGAAGCCGTCCACCACGAGAACACCGAGTGGATGGAAGACACCAACTCAGACTATGAAGTCGACCAGCTATGAAAGGACCTGGAGAAGGGACCGCAGCCAGCTGGAAAGACAGTTCCGTTCCTTAGATGCATGGGCTGCGGAGGCCACCATCAATGTGCGAATTGTTGATTCCGAACTGCAACGTGCTGGGCCTGTGGCCACATCGCTGCTGTCTGCTGAGGTCATCAGAGGGACCACCCAAAAGAAGATGCATTCAGGAGAGGTACCAGAACCCTGGGTCAACACCAAGTAGAGTTCTGCTCCAGACGAAGGAGTGTATTCTGCACTGGTGCCCATCACCCCCTAAAGCAGAAGCTTAGACTACAGATCAGGTTTCAGGGAGTTCCATGCAAGATGGAACTGGACACGGGCTCAGTCATGTCCATCATTTCACAAGGAACATTCGGGCACCTATGCCATCGTAGCAACAGATGGGCCATGCTCCGGCCATCCAATCTACTACTCACAGACTTCCAAAACTCCCAAG